CTATATGACAATGTGTAAGTTATAAAATGTTAGGGAAGGAGTAAGCATCACCAAAAGAAGAGGCAGGAGAGACATTTTCCCATATGGCTGGAAGGAGGCGATAAAGAAGCAAGCATAATATATCAACCATTGTTAATAAGCTATTCTCATTTTGAAAATCTGTAGCATGTATTGTATGTTGCCCTGTTTTTGTCTTTGTTTCTGATTTTTGTTCTTGCCTTTGTTTTTTTTTTTTTTGTTTGTTTTTGTTTTTTTTTTTTTTCGGAACGAGGGATTGAACTCAGGCCCTTGTGCTTGCCAGGGAAGCACTTATTCCACTGAGCCATTTCCCTGGCCCTTCTTGCCTTTGTTTTTATTCTTCAAAATAAAATTAAATTAGAAAAAAAAAAAAGAAGCAAGCAAAGGAAAGCACAGCAAAGAGAAGTTAACTGGATGTGAGTTCCACAGGGGAGGAGCTTGCCTTTTCTTTTTTGAAGTACCAAGATCTTCACACTGAGCTAAATTTAACTTTCTTTTTTTTTCTTTCTTTCTTTCTTTCTTTCTTTCTTTCTTTCTTTCTTTCTTTCTTTCTTTCTTCCTTCCTTCCTTCTTTCATTCTGAGATGTGGTCACACTCAGTTGCCTAGGCTGATCTCAAATTTGGGATCCTCCTGCTTCATCCTCCCTAGAAGCTGGGAATGCCAGAAGGCACCAATGTTCCCAGACCCCTTGATTCTTTTGAGACTGGCCACTGGCCTTCAGGTGATCAAATGGCTGTGATCATGTGTGCTGTGGGAGCACAGAGGCATAGAGAGAATGCATGCCCTTCACCCAGGAATAGAGGCTGGCATGAGACAAAACATTCAAAAGCTAAATTTCAACCTTGGGGTAATTCTATCTCACAATTGCACTCATTTTATGGTTCTTTATAATTTTTTCCAGAAATAACTCATCCAAAAGTAGCCTTTACAATATTGTTCTAAGAAAATTTTCACCCTACATTTATCTCAATTTGATTTTGGTGGTTTTTTGCTTGTTTGTTCTTTTTTTATTTATTTTTTAAATTATTATACAACTATTTTTTTACCTTTTAAAGTTTCTAAAACTGGAGAAAATATCATGCCATGTCTTTTAAATAGATTATAAGTCTAATATACAGTATAAATCTTAAAATAAAAATTAAGATTAAGCAATATTCTGAAAATTAAATACTAATTAATTAAAAAATGCTTCAAAATAATTGAACTAAGAAAAAGTTTTCATGAGAGTAAAGAATAACTAAGAATAAAACATAAGATAAATACTGGAATGGCAAGTAAATGACCAGCTCTTCTAACAATTTGGGGGTAGGATATCACACACAGTTCTAGTGTGTTGTGGACAGGAATAAAGTCCATGACACTTACTGGTGGCCAGGTGTCACTTGTGGGACTGAGCTACTGCTGTTTCCTTGAAATCCACCCTGTAGACCCACATGGAATAGGGTGAGGAGAAGTCCATTTGTAGAGTGTGCTGATGGAAATATTTTGCTGCTGTACTACAAAGAATAACTGAAAGACTACTTTTGTATACCTCTTATTCTCCTCTGTTTAATTGTTTACCCTATTTGGTGGGTTCTTTCCATTCTCATTCATGGAGTTGTGGTCATTTTGCTCCCTCTCTAGAACATCATTTAGTAGTCTGTGTAGGCTTGGCTTTGTCATCATGAAATTCTTAAATTGTTCTTTATCATGGAAGTATTTCACTTCTTCATTATACTTGAAAGAGAGTTTTGCAGGGTATATCAGTCTGGGTCAGAATTTGTTTTCTTGCAATACTTGAAGTACTTTGCTTCATGTTCTTCTTGCCTTGATGGTTTGTGAAGAGAAATCTGCTGTTATCCTGATGGGATTTTCTTTAAATGTTATTTTTTTTTCCTTAGTGGCTTTTAGTATACTGTTCCTGTGCTGAATTTCTGAGATCTTGATTATTATATGCCTGGGTATGTTTTTATTTGGGTTGCTGTTATTTGGAGTCCTATATACTTCAGTTACCTGAATATCAGATTGTTTCCCCATATTTAGGAAGTTTTCTGCTATTACTTCCATCCATATTTTTATATCCATATTTTTATATCCTTTGTATTGACGCCTTCCTTCTCATTGATGCCTATTAGTCTCATGTTGTTCATCTTTACATCATCTTGCAGGTATTGAATTATTTTTTCCTGCATCCTAGTGGTTTTTATGAGATCTTTACTTACTTTTTCACTAGCTGCAATGGTGTCTTTAAGGTCTGAAAGTCTATTCTCACTTTCATTCAAATGAATTTTCCAGCTTGTGATTGAGGTTTTAAATTCCTGTATATCACTTTGGATCTTTATATTCTGTTTATTCTTCTATCAGGGTCTGCTTTAGAACCACTTAGTAATTCTTTCATTATGGTTATCCTTTTTTTACTTCAGAAATTATTTCTGATCTGATTTCCTCTATACCTTTCTGCAGTTGTTACTTTCCTTCAGGTCCTATTATTTCAGAGATTTCAGGTGTGTGATTTCCAATTTCTTCTATGTTAGTGTCATCTGTATTTATTCTAGGTGGGCTTGGGGCCTAAGACTGCATTTTGTTCCTTCTCTTTGTCATTTTGTATGCCACTGTCTTCTGACCTTTGGTGAAGAACTTAGAGTTATTACCTTAGCACCAGGGCTGGATCTATGAAGTTCAGATTCCTCCAGGTGGGTGTTGTTTGGATCTGGTTGCTGTGCTCCACTTCTTCCTGTTGCAGCCATTGGAGTTGAACCCTCTGTGCCACTCTGGAAAGATGTTCTATTCCTGAATCAGCTGGGTGGGTCTTTCCTCTACTCTCTTTGCATGGAGTTCTGTTGAAGGATTCCACACCAGGCCTGTGCTCTGGGTTGAATCAGGATTCAGCCAACCCTGGGTCATCTCACTCACATGCCGGGCCTGTGCTGTGGGTTGGATGAGAATCCAGCAGGCCCCGGGGCAGTCTCACTCACACAATTTTGGTGTTTTAAGGAAGAGTCTCACCTTGTAACTCAGGCTGGCCTTGAACTCATGGTGATCCTAGTACCTCAGCTTGTTGAATGCTGGCATAACAGGTGTGTACCAAATTTTTTTAAATCACACCAAATGTCATGAATAGAGGTTTTTTGTTTTTGTTTTTGTTTTCTGGTACCAGGAATTAAAATCAAGGCCTTGTGCTTGCCATGCAAGCACTGTTCAGCTGAGCTATATCCCTGGCCCTGCTATTGCTATGAAACAGCCCCAGTGACTTGATTTTTCTGACTTTGAAGAAAGTCTGGTCTAGAGAATGGCCCTGGTGCTGACAGCCTGTGTTTGCCCTTTCTGGAGCCACTCATTAGCTGTATGACCGCATCTTCATTTCCTCCACTGTAGGGTCAAGTTATAGCATCTACCATGAGTCAGGGTGAGATCAGGAAACCAGATACCATGCTAAGTATTTAGGAGAGTAAGTGCAATACAGGTGGCCTGCTGAGCTGGGGATGGCAGACCTAAAATGCCACTCCCAGGTGAGGAAGGAGGCAGAATACACAGCAGCAGTGGGTATGGGCTGGAGGTAGGGGGAAGAGAGGCAGAATGAGGGGCCAAACCAGACTCATTGCAGTGACTCACTCTCCAGTGTCAACAAGCCAAGGCCAGGAAGGTACCACACACACACACCACCTCGAACAGTGAGAGGGCAGCTCGCCGGCTTCTCCCTGATCACACCCTGTCTCCCACCCAGTGAAACCTGTCAACTGAGTCCAGCCAGAACCAGTTGCCACTGAGACACTGGGAAATGAACTCTCCAAGGTAGCCTTAGGGACACAGCAGAGTGAGAAAAGCAGGCCTTTCTGTTAATAAAAAGGACCAGCCTGGTGACTGCCTTCCCTTAATTCCTTAAAGCCAATTCTTCCTTCACCCATGTAAGCTGTCCACAAGATAAAGCCACTTCCCTGATGCCTGCTGGTCAGGCATGTGCACCCTGCCTCTTCTCCAGGGCATCAAGGCTTTTCATGGCCTCCAGAGCAGTTAGTGAAGCCATGTGGATAAGCACAGTTAATGCTATAGCAAAACCAGTAGGATCAAGGGAAGTGAAAAGATCCATAGTGTGACCACTAGACTGAACACCAGGCCAAAGGTAATGTAGTCAGTTCTCACTGTCTGAGGATCCATGTTCATGCTTTGCCAAAATGTATCTACAATCTCAAAATCAATTCCTGGTGCAATTTTGTGGACATTCATGGATACACAGCATAGTGATAATTTTGAGTTATCTGACTGGTGTGTTCCTGCTCCACCTTCTCATTTAAGGTCATACAGCAAACAACTGTTCTTTGCTGTAATTGTTTTAATGTCACATTTTTCACAGTTCTGTGCATTTTGTTAATGATTTTATTTCTTAGAATGCACCCCATGTGAAATGATGAAACTGCGCCCAATGCTTCTGTCTTAGTTACTCTTCTCTCGTTGCTGGAAGAAATACCCAACACTCAAAATGAAGGAAGGAAAGGTTTATTTAGCTCACAGTTACTGGAGGTTTCAGTCCATATGCATTTAGGTCCAACACAGAGCAGCACATAACAGAAAGCAAACGTTCATGGTGGTGGCAAAGAGCAAGAGCTCAAGGGAGGGGTAGAAGCAGCTCAAGCAGCTGGCTTCTCTTCCCACTTTACATTGTAATGCAAATTACCTGCCCCAAGGCAGGTGCAGCAGCCACACCCACAGTAATCAATCACAAACTCCAGAAGTCACCCCAAGACTGCATGAGGCTTTGGGGGGACACCTAGACACAAACCATAACATTCCACCCCTGGACCCCCAAAGACTCATGCACATCCCTTTATGCAAAAGACATTCTAGTCCATCTCTGCATTGCTGAAGAGTCCAAGTCCCAAGTCTCCTCCAAGATCCAAGGCAAACTCTCAACTGTGAGCCCTAGTACAAATGAAAATTTAAACACTCAAAACATTCAAAGGCACAAGATAAACACTACCATTCCAAAAGGTACACACAGCAGGATACCAAGCATTGGGACCAACACAAATCCAAAATCCAGCAGGGCAAACATTAGGTCCTACAGTTCCATGTGGGACATCCCCAGCAATCTGTGATGAGCTGTGAGTGCCATGTGCCTCTGCCCCTGCGTCACTCAAGGTAGCTCCTATGGTGTCTCTCTTAGGCTGACTTTGCTCCCTCCTTGCAGTTTCCCTTAGATGATCCACATTCCTAGCTTTTCCAAACTTCTGGGGTTTCCACTGAATAGGCTTTTCACTCACAGCTTCACACACTGCCCTCTCAGGGGCAAACCACCTGCCTCCCAGGCCTTCTGAAATAGAGGTGGAAGCCTTCTTAACCTCAGAACTCCTGCATTCTGCATGCATCTAAAACCAATGCCTCATGGGCAATGCCAAAGTCTGTTGCCAGCTGGAGCAGTAGCCAGGGTTTCCTCTCTCTTGGTTGTAGGGGTTGAGTGCCTGGATGGCTGAGCACCCTGACCCTGATTTGGAGAAATAATTTCTCCATACCGGCACCATTCTGGAACCTGGTGCAGCCACACCACCATCCTGGAACTTGGGGCTCAGAGGCTTTCCCCTCAAGGCAAAGTCCCTGACCTTTGCAGTTCTGAGTCTGCAAAGAGTGGAGATTTGCCTCCTCCTGTGATGCCCTCAGGCCATCCTTTCATCCTCAGGTTCGTTCCCGGCAAAGGAAATCCTCTCAGCTCCATCTTTGCAGTCCACAGCTTTATTGGAGTTTTCTTTCTGGCCAAGCCCACAAAACTTTAAATCCTCCTGCTGGGCTCCTTGCTCTTCATTCTCAACATAAGTCTGGCTAAAAGCCCCCAACAACAATCAGGCCACTGCTCCAATTTTTGGCTGCTTTGAAATATCTTTTGCCAGATTAATCAGTCCACCATGCTTAAACTTAGTCTCAGGCAAAGTCTCTGGACATGAGCAAAATGCAGACAACTTTTCTGCCAAGTCAAAACACAAATGATCAGGAGTCCAGCAACAAATGTAGTCCTTCCCAGCAGAAACCTCACCAGCCTGGTCTTTATAGGCTGACTTCCAGACAGTCTTCTGGTCTAAGCTCTGACCAGAATCTCCCACACAGAACAGGCGAAGCTGTTCCAGTGCTTCACTTGTAGGCGACATCTCCAAACCTTTCCTATCTCTTCCCATAAGCCATTCCCAAAAGCTTGTAATCCACATGGTCAGGTTTATCCACAACAATGACCCCACTCCTGGTACCAAATTCTGTCTTAGTTACTTTTCTCTCATTGCTGGGACAAATACCCAACACTCAAAATGAAGGAAGGAATGGTTTATTTAGCTCACAGTTACTGAAGGTTTCAATCCATATGCATTGGGTCCAACACAGAGCAGCACATAACAGAAAGCAAACTTTCATGATGGTAGTAAAGAGCAAGAGCACAAAGGGAGGGGACTTGAGATCCTATTTACAAACACTATTAGAACAAATCCCTCTATTCATTAATAAAATGTAACTATATACCTATCCTAACCATTTTGAATACACAGATACAAAATGGACATTCATCTGTATCCCCTTTTTTTGTTTAGTTCTGTTTTTTGAATATTATAGGTGTGTTAACTCAGCAAAACATTCTAAAAGAGTCCAGTAGCCAATAATAGTATTGGGTCTTCCGCTTGACTTGCAATATCAGAAATTGTTGACCTGAGTCCCCTACAGATCAACATGACAGCATGGCTTTACTTCTTATATTTCATTTTTATACATTTCTGTTGGATGGTTAAGGCCAAGTTAAAGCAGAACCTATGCACCAAGAGTTGTAGCTTTTGGGTCTGAAAAGGTCAGTGAAGTCCCCTCAGGATTTATCCTGAGATCCTGTACCTCTGATTGTAGAACGATTGAGGGGTAGCAGCAGCACAAGCAGCTGGCTTCTCTTCCCACCTTACATTGTAATGCAAATTACCTGCCCCAGGAAGGTGCAGCAACCACACCCACAGTAATCAATCACAAACTCCACAAGCCACCCCAAGACTACATGAGGCTTTGGGGGGACACCTAGACACAAACCATAACAGCTTCTAAGGTGCAACAGTTGGATGTACCTCCTGCTGAAACTGTCAGATAAAATATTCTCTTGGGCCAAAGCCAGAGTGCTGTTGGCTATTAGCTCAATACCAGTGAATCCCTAATATATATCAAATAAGGTACCTTGAAGCAGAAGCACAATTTGAACAAGGCTACCTGTAAATCAGTTGGCAATAATGGCATGACAAAAGCTCATAGGAACTGAACCTTGAATTTGTGTTCAATGTTCAGTTTTCAGTGCTCATAGCAATTCTATAAATGTAACTACTGTGAATAGTGAGAATCTGCTGTCTTTATTGATCTTTTGCTCGCACCTATTTCCATTGTCCTCTGCCTTCAGCCTGTACTTACACTAGCCAAGGTTCTCTCCCTGGTGGGTGGGCTCACCTTCAAACCTGCAGTTTCTGATTCCTTCAAGGTCTTGTCTCTTCTGGGCTACTGAAGTCTTTCACTGACCTGCACTGTAGGATGTGGAATGCTGCAAGACATCCCAGTATTTCTCTAGTGCTGCCTATATCCCTCCCCGTCTCCACTGGGGAGTAAGAACCCATTTTCCTCTCTGAGGTTGGATTCATCTTACCCACCATTGGAATACTCTCATCTGCCCTGTAGAAAACAAGGAGTTCAAGACAGTCAGAACTTAACTACTGTTGCTGATCTTAACTTCCAGCATGATGGAACTACTCAGCCAGCAAAACTCAGCTGTGTATCCCATGCTATAGACAAAATCCCACCATGCTAAGTTGTCTCCTCTTGGCCAACATAAGCCACTGTTCCTCTGCTCCTCAGCTCATGTGGTGGGGTACATGGCAAAGAGCAATGAGTCTAACACTGCAAATCTGCTTCTGTGGAAAGAAGACCTCACCTAGGGAAACAGAACCACAGGTTTGACATGCCCAAAATACACAGATATATTTAAGTCAAAGAAAGTTCTGTGGTGTTGTTTCATGTCCCTTAGGCTTCAAGTGTTGAAATTTAATCCCATTTCTATTTATGAAAAAATGGCAATGTAAGGGCTGGGTGTATAGGTAAGTGGTACAGTTCCTGCCTGGCAAGGGCAAGGCCCTGAGTTCAATTCCCAGAACCAAAAAAAAAAAAAATAGTGGAAATTTAAACTATAGTGTTTAGAGGTAAGGCCACTAGGAAATGAGTAGGCTTAGGTACACATGTTAGTACAGAGCTCTCATGATTAAGTCCTGGTGGCTGTACAGGCAGAGTGAGATCAGAAGGGTCACATGGATGCTGTCCATCTCTTACCACAGGAGGCCCAGGTCTGCACTGTAACTCTGCTAACAAGGCCATCATCAGATGTTGACCCTCGAACTTGCACTTCCAGAACTGTGAGCCCTAATAAATTTCTTTTCCTTATACCCACCCAGTCTATAGTAATGTATTATTAACAACAAAAATGGACTATTAAAGACAAAACAATTCTAGAAATGATGCTTTTCAACAGGAGGAATCCATCCTGATGTAAGGACTACAGACATTCCTCCTTCAGTGAACTGCCTAATGACCCATCTTTCCTTTGCACAGTTCTAGACTTCAATGTCTTTTTTTGTACAGGGTACCTTCTTTATACAGTTTATTGTTTTTTTGTTGATTGTACTATACAGTGCAGTAGTATAGTTCTCTCTTAACCCATTACAGGACTGCAGGTAAGAGCTAAGCAAATAAAAGCAAAGTTATCAAGTTGGAGTTTCCTTTAACCATTTCTCTGTTCTGAATATTGTAACATGCATAGTCTATGTAATTTATATCTAGTAACCAATTCATTTAACAACCTAGTCACTGGAACAGAACTTGACCATTAAACAAGAAATGTCTGTATAAGGTATTAGGTCACCATTATGTTTCTGGCAGCACTGCCCACTTCCTGCCATCAGGCAGTAGTGCCTTTTCGTGCTGGGACTCAAAACTGGTCTAGCTCTTCGCAGATTGGGCCCTCAGCAATGATGGGACCAGGGCTGATGTGAGAAGAATATGTCCATGCTATCTAGACTGTAGGTCACCCCCTCCCTACTGTGAGGACCCCTTGAGAAGCTCTGCAGCATCTACTCTCCACAGATTACCTTGTCCACTGGCTATTGCCTGTCTCCTCCATAGTGGGAACTCAAGGGTATGCACTCACATGGAATCAGTCTCTTTTTCTGTGCCCATTCCTGCAGAGTCCCCTATAGATTTCCACTCAAGACCTTTAAATTGTCCAATTCTGGGTGATTTTTTTTTCTTTCAAAAATCCATGGGGTCGGTCAGATTGCTCAGCAGACTAAAGTGTCTGCTTAGGCAGGTGCAGGGACTGGGGTTCAATCCCCAGTGTGCTGTGGGAGCCCCACCCCCAGGGTTCACTGAGAAAATAAGACTGGATGTGGTAGCACATGCCTGTAATCCCAGTTCTTGGGAGGCTGAAAACAGGAGGATCATGAGTCTGATCTATGTAGTGAAACCCTGTAGACCCTGTACTAAATACATAAAATAAATAAATAAATAAATATCCATGAACCCTGGAGAGTTTGAGCTAACACGAGTGAGGGTAAATCCTAACCTCCAGGGATGTCCCCTCCTGAGCAAAGTGAACAATCAGGAGGTCTGCCCTCTAGGAAGATTTCCTTATACTTTTGTATTTGAAAGCCCCATATGGGGCCATGATGGAAGATGAGGCCCAGTGAGCTCAATGACCATCAGCTACCACTGTACTCATACTATAATCATCCAGCCTGGAAACAGGGAAAAGCTACCACCAGCTGCTTTGACTGGAGCAGTAAACTATGCATTTTGAATCAGTGCATACAAACCAATTGCTTCACTTAGTCCAATCCAGAGCTATCCTGTAACCTACTCTGTGTAATACCTAGTGAATCTATTACTTCCCATAAAGCTGGAGTTAGAAGCTAGCAAACTTGTTTGTGGAAGAAGCTGCCTGTCAAGAAGCAAAACTTTGAATGCCTCCTCCCACCAAACCTCCCTCAGAGCCTGATAGGATTCTTGGTCTAGATTCAGGACAATTAGGTGGTCTACAGAACAACACACAAAATATTTGCACAAAGAAAAGCCTGCCTTCTTCACACAGGAAGAAATCTA